CAAGAACCGTTACCCAAATCTAAGTGTAAAAAGGTTTTTCAGTTGTCATGGTATCAAGAAGAGAAGGTCAGTTGCGGATAGAACAGTCGATATCCGGTTAGTGTAAAATGAGGACTGCAGACTGAAGACTGCGTACTGGGGTAAAATACAGACTGAGGGTGAAAATGCAGACTGCAGACCAGGGGTAAAATGCAGACTGTAGACTTTTTAACTGAGTCATGTTACCGTTTCCATCATTGAGAGCTAACCGTAAACAGGCAAACCGCAGCGTTATTTAAGCTAACCCGAGTGATATTCAGGCTAACCGGAGCATTGCAAACTTTCACTGTGATTAGCCTGAATAACCCTGTTTCTGATTAGAAATTGATGATGGAAAAACACCGTCGCTATATACTTAAAAAGTCTGTAGTCTGTAGTCTGCAGTCTACATTTTACCCTCAGTCTGCATTTTACCCTCAGTCTGCATATTATCCCCAGTCTCCAGTCTGCAGTCTTCATTTTACACTGACCAGTCGACATCGAAATATCAGGTGCTATCAGAGGTTCGACTATATGTTCCAAATCGATCATGACAAGCCTTTGTACTGAAACTTTTTGACTTTATTGTGGGAACTAAATAACCGTTTAATTCCATGATTTGTGATAGTATAAGGGTAATTTCATTTCCTTGTCGATATTGATGTCGTGGTAGTCCTATTAAACAGAGGCTTTTATTAACAATCAGCTCGCTCGATATGGTTTGTAGCAGGCTGAAAAATTTGTAAATATTAGTTTCTATAAATATAGCTGCACAGTATTTTTGTGCTATTTGTTGAAATCAAACTCCTTATGTACAGTCAGTGACATCATGTACAGTCAGCTATGACGTCCATTATGAGTATCGTAAGGTAGGAAAATATATATATAAGCCCAAAGAACGCTAGTGTCTGCTTAACAGGCTACTGTCTTGATATAATATAATAGAACACGAAAACGAAAAACTAAAATTGAAGTTCAAATTCCGTTTTTCAATGTCTTACGAAAATAGAAGATGAAAAACGGAAATGACAGTTGCAATTCTGTTGTACGAAGTCATAGGAAAAGGAAAAATGAAAATAGAAGTTCCAATTTCGTTTTCAATGTAGTAGGAAAACGAAAAATGAAAATAAAAGTTCTAATTCCCTTTTCCAATGGTGTGGGTAAACGAATAACGAAACTGGAAGTTCGAATTTCGTTTTCCCATGTCGTTGGAAAATGGTTGGCACTAAGGTACACGCATTAGTAGCCTATTAAGCAGACGCTAGGGCTCTTTCGGCTTGTATTATTGCATGCCTTCCTTTACTATCACAAATCACAGAATGAAATGGCTATTTAGGTCCCACTATAAAGTCAAAAAGGCTTGACATGATCAATATCTTTCAAAAATGAAAGACGAAAAAAGGAAATGACAATTAGGATTCTGTTGTCCAAAGTTGTGGAAATACGAAAAACGAAAATAGAACTTGGAATTCCATTTTCAATGCAGTAGTAAAACGGAAAACGAAAATGGAATCTCAAATTCCCTTTTTCGATGGGGTGGGTAAATGAAAAACGAAACTGGAAGTGCGAATTCCGTTTTCCCACATCGTAGGAAAACAGTTGGCACTAAGGTACACGCATTCGCATCCCCCCTAATCAATGTTGGAAAATGTCGCATTTTTCTTAACAAAAAGGGAAAAAAATCACCTGATTATCAACATTCTAAGTGGGAGAAGGGGAGAAGTTGCTTCGTGTCCCAACTTTTTTGTCTGGGATTGTCTGAAAGAAGAATTTAAAGAATGTCATACCACTCGCTGTTAGTTTTGAAACGCCTATCGTTTATCAATTTCCTATGCAACTTCCTACTGATTTATTATCAGTTATTATTCCAGCCAAGTACGTGATTTCAAAATCAAAGCTTTCATAAAATTGTGACTTTCACACGTATGTAATAGTTCTAGAATTTTTGCCGCTAGGAAGTTGTCTTTATTGTGGGCGCCATGTTTCTCACAACGCCCAAGTTTTTTCACGTAACATAGGCAATAAAAGACGACGTGCAACTTCTTTTAGTCAGAGATTGTTAGTGAAGTTACACCAATACCGTGCTATGATCAGATGATCCAAGTTACCACTATTTCAAGTGTATTTTGCTGTCCCTCTGCTACCTTTTGGTGCGAGTCGTCAACCAAAGTACGCAAGTTCTTATTGTTGTAGTTATTTGCTAAGTCGCGAATTGTTAGTCTTTTCTTTGTCACGAAAAGGTTTCGTGTAGTTTATCTAGGTTTTGTTGAAATCGCTTTCACAGCTTTACTATTGCTAAGGTTTTTTGTCAAGTTGCTTTATCAGTCCAATTGTCATATGATTACCAAATTGTGATTTTTTCACGCTATATTTAGCTATTTTGCACGATAGCTGTTGATATCTTCGTTTGTTACAACAAGAGTTGTTATCGTCCCAGTTTTATTAGTTTCAAGTATCAATTGTCACGTCCATTTGTTTCACACTATGATCTTGTTAGTCTTACTTTGATTTTTCTATCCTGTTAGATTTGTATTTTATGCCTTATTTAAGTAGGACGTATTCTTAACTATCGCTTTTCAGTTTGAACCTACTACATCTACCTGTACAACTACTACTCCTATTCGTATCTGCTACCACTACTTGCAATTTACTGGTTTTCGCTATTTCTTCAGTTGCTATGTATTGTGAACTGTAGATCTATGGACTTAATCTGTCATTAAATCAGTTTGAATCTACCAAGTGGAGTTTGAATATCTCGCACCGCGCTACCCCTGTAGTTGTTTAAGATTTGAGTAAAGGCAACCTCTAGAATCTTTACAATTACACTCACTGTAAAACAGGTTGGAGAAAACAGGAATTGTACCATCTCGCGGGTACAGCTAATGAGCGCTACTTAAAAGAAACAGCATGCAACGACAAGTTTTACCTGGGTAGGCACTTAAGAACATTAAGTCATCTTTCTAAATAACCTTCTACGGTAGGCGATTGATAAGTCTGTGACATAACCCTCTATTGCTTCTTCAGGGGCAAACGGCTCAGTTGTTCGCCCCTAAAATCCAACTATGCACAAGATATTGTGTTTGAAAAGGATGTTTCTATTTCCTGCACTGAAAAAATGATCTTGTCTACTTCTTTAGAGGGGTGGTTGATTCGCCCGAAACAAAAATGATGCAAATTCGGTTGAAACGGTGGGCACTGAGCAAGTGGATATTTTCGCCTTGTCCCAGCTGTTTCGTGGGGTTTATCAGTGGACAGCTATAAAGCATTGCTGCTACCTAAACGTGATTGAATTATGCATGTCTCTCTTCATTTTCCTCTGTAATACCGGAACGTGCATAAAGCGAGGTGTGTTCTCAGCTTCAGAAGTGTCACCGGGTTAACCGCTGCAATTAACCCTCACGATTAACCATTACTGATAAAACATTTTGGTTCCAAACTGCTTCGAGTCATTCAAATTATACCTTTTTCCACTTTATAAAAATTATTAAAAACTATTTAACATTGTTTGGGATCAAGAACTAGCAAAACAGAGCTTTGCAAGAAGGTTTATATGGTTAACTGTTCAATTGAAATAGAAAGGGTAGTTACGTAGTTAACTTATTGACACTGGCAAACAGTTAACCATATTTCGAGTGTCAAACTCTACTATTTGGCCACCAACTTGCTTCCAGCCTGCATTTCAAATGATGTGAAGTGAGAAATTTTTGTACCTTCTGCCAATTGGGAAGAACAGCAAAGGTTAGGGAGCAAAATGCTGACTTTCAATTGGTTAACCAATGTTGGTTATTCGTGTGCGTTAATTAAATACATGCGGACCCGGAAGTTGTTGTGTCGTGTGTAATCGTGATATATCTGATTACTATACACGGATAAACTTACATCAATTTATTTAACACTATTCCTTGAAATAACACAAAGATCTGCTACTTTGTGAATTAATAATCCTGGAAAATGTCTTAAATAATAGACAACAGCTCTAACCTTCCTTTAAATGTCATTTTGCTGGAAGCAGATCGCGAATTGCATTTTATTACAGGTGGTTACGAGTTATATTCCACGGATATCTGCACTGAGCCTTAATCTAGATTAACGTAGGAAAGTTCTGTCCAGTGTACGTCATTGAGCCGAAATCAAGTTCTAAAATATCGTGACACCATGATGATCGTTGGCGTTACCTTCACTAGAAAATTCCTCGCATATCTCTTTCAGACAATCCTGGACAATAGTAGCTGGGACAGTTGAGCTGGATCACGTATTCCCCATCCCCCCTAATCAGTGTTGGAAAATGTCGCATTTTCCTCAACAAAAAGGGAAAATATCACCTGATTATCAACACTGTAAGTGGGGGGGGAGGGGAGAAGTTGCTTCGTGTCCCAACTGTTTTGTCTGGGATTGTAGATCCTGATAACCAGCAACCAGCACTGCATCACCCTGTAAACAAATGTAATTTTAAACTGATATAGAAATCGATGCTAAATTTCATTAAGTGAATATTGTAATTTATAATTACACTGGGTAGTGTGCCTCAACAAGTGTAAATTTCCTATTGTTTTTTTTAGTAATAATTATTGTCTTGTAATTAGTGTACGTGTATTATTTTCTATAGTGTCTGTCATATTGCATGTCAATGTAATCCAAAGCTGTAAGTTAAAGTCCTTTTTTCTGTAAGTAGCATACTGACTCCATACTGTAAGTAGGTTGTATATAATGTGTAGATTGTAGTGCGTAGATATGTACTCCGTAGACTTTTTTTTTGTATCTGTAGTATAAGTTTAATTGTAATTGCTGTAATTGTTCAAGCAAATTTAAATTTACTTGTCCTGGAGAAATGTATTCAAGCCCGGCAGTTCAGCCACTCAAACTAAAGTATCTGCATTACTGACAGACCTGGAGAATTCTACTATGCTTATTATTAACAGTTCCACTTTATTTCATTTTTAACCCTTTAATTTTTAAAAGCTAATTTGTTATTTACTTCACAGGCTCCAAGCCCTGTTAATACTGTCACAAGAGGTGATATTGATGCTGTAAAGTCATCTACCTCTTTCCCAAACAGACGAAATGTTTTTGAAGTTCGTACAAAGTCAGGGATTGTTTGGTACTTACAAGCCACATCACCAGTAAGTTGCACATTTGCTGTGAGTTTCAAAACTTTATTGTAATGTTCAAAGCCCTATGGGGTTGTCAGATGTAATAGTTGTGGGGAGGTGGAATTGATGCCAAATTGCCGGACCTAGTAAATGGCCTGGAACGTAACCCACCAAAAAATCCTCATTTTCTCAGTAACATGACCCACAACATGATCTCATGTGAATAAACCACTAAAATAGAAACGTTTCCTGTCATTGCAACAACTGTGAGTCTTTCTCTAAACAAATGCTTTTTAATGACAAAACACTTTGCCGACTACACCTGACAACGTGGCACTGTAAAAGTGATGCTTGTGCGCATGTGCAAACTGAACTATACTGGAATTGTCAGAATGCTGAACTGGATATTACATTTCTCCCTTTTTCAAGAGACAGTCTCTTCCATAATAAAACCTCTGGAAGAAGCAGCATCGTGATTAGGTTAATCCAACAAGTTTGGTTACGATGTACGGCAAAAAAAGAATTTGTTTCAACTTATGAAATGTAATATCAAGCCTAGTTTCATCAAGGTTTGATTTTGACAATTTGATCAGTGGCTTTGTTTATAAGAACTTTTTTGGAGCTTTTCCCAGTAAGACATCTAAGTGATGCAGTCTGTAATAGTGGCTAATGGTAAAAGCTAGCCTTTCAACAGGCTCCCAGTGAGGGTGAAAAAGAATTTGGCAGGCGAAGCATGAATCTGCAAGCAAAGTGAGTGGGAGTCCACGAGCAAGAATCCGTGAGCAAAGCGAATGGGAGTCCCTCATCACCAGACCACTCTCAGCTCATCCTGCTCACCCTAGACTACACTCAGCTAGCTTACACTAAAACCAACTGGGAGCCTGTTCGCAGGCTAGGTAAAAGTGGATTGGTGGGTAATTTTTATGGACTCATTTTACAACAAGGACTAATTAAATGCAATAGCATGGTCTTATTCTGTTGCCAGCATTGATCAGATTGAGTATAGTTTCTTTGGTTTTGACATTCCATGAAACGACTTCAAATTATTATTGATTTTAAAAGCCATCTAAACAAAAAGACACTTATGGAGGGGAATCAATTGCAACTAAACCTCTGAAAGAAAGTATAAATTGAACAAGAAGACAAGAAATCTGCAGAGCTTGGGAAGTTGTCTTGTCACGTAACCCTTCCCAACATGCGAGAGCCTTTTTGATGACAAAGAAAGAGTTACAGAAAAAGTAACTTTCTGAGAGATTCAAAATTTACCTTGATCACCCTGGAAACATTCCCCTACCTCCCAAACAATGTTGAATTTCCTATTTCTAAGACTGCAGATCACAGCATCTACACAACATTGAACTAGGGAGCCAGGGGTATCAGAGAGTCATCACCAGATGCATGTGAAATGGAATTGAAATAAAAAAGCTAAAAAGCACTTGCATCTTGGGACATTTGCTCCGCACCCCCTACCCAGGCAAGAACCTCAATGTGGTCTTGCATACTTCCAAATGGAATGATAGTAATGCAAAATTTCCATCACCATGTCTAATTTCCACGAAGGACATTGTGTCCATTTTGACAGGGTAAGTTTGTCACATCCAACAAACTTTCTAGAATACTACTGACAACAAGAATTGTTTCATATACAGTCGAAGGACCACCTTGGACATTGCAAAAAGTGGTTGCATACAAGAATGGGCTCTCATTGTTTCAGTTACTTAGTATGTGATGTTTTGCAACTGCTTAAAATTGAGGCGTTTGTAGTAGAATTTTAATGTTCCCTTTAATGAGCTTTAATTTTAAATTGCACGACTCTCATTTGATAAACGGCAGGTGTAGGTTTATCTGGTGAATACAATAATTGCAGGGAACATACAATCTAGTTTAGTAGGATGAGATTAAGATAGCCTAATATGACCCTAAGGTGGAGTATTTCAACACCAATTTTAGTTACACCTGTGCTAGATGTTCAGTTAGTAGAGAGCCACATGTAATAGGCATCAGCGTGCTCACTTACCTCCCATTCCACTGAGATCCTTGAACAGGCTGATTTTGCATCTAAGATGGTTTTAGAATTCAAAATGTCCCATGCCCCAGAGGTTGCACAAGGAGCCATGTTAAGTTTCCAATTGACCTGCCTTCAAGTCTGATTTTATTAATTTGCAGTTCAACTTGCCAACATGGAGACTTTCCAAACTAAAATTTAAAACTTTAGAAAAACTCTGACAAATATGAATTTTTTGAAATTCCCTTTATTGGAATACTTAATTATATTTACTTAGCTCTTATTAACTGAGTGGAAGGTCTGTACGGGAGAATCNTTTCACACTATGATCTTGTTAGTCTTACTTTGATTTTTCTATCCTGTTAGATTTGTATTTTATGCCTTATTTAAGTAGGACGTATTCTTAACTATCGCTTTTCAGTTTGAACCTACTACATCTACCTGTACAACTACTACTCCTATTCGTATCTGCTACCACTACTTGCAATTTACTGGTTTTCGCTATTTCTTCAGTTGCTATGTATTGTGAACTGTAGATCTATGGACTTAATCTGTCATTAAATCAGTTTGAATCTACCAAGTGGAGTTTGAATATCTCGCACCGCGCTACCCCTGTAGTTGTTTAAGATTTGAGTAAAGGCAACCTCTAGAATCTTTACAATTACACTCACTGTAAAACAGGTTGGAGAAAACAGGAATTGTACCATCTCGCGGGTACAGCTAATGAGCGCTACTTAAAAGAAACAGCATGCAACGACAAGTTTTACCTGGGTAGGCACTTAAGAACATTAAGTCATCTTTCTAAATAACCTTCTACGGTAGGCGATTGATAAGTCTGTGACATAACCCTCTATTGCTTCTTCAGGGGCAAACGGCTCAGTTGTTCGCCCCTAAAATCCAACTATGCACAAGATATTGTGTTTGAAAAGGATGTTTCTATTTCCTGCACTGAAAAAATGATCTTGTCTACTTCTTTAGAGGGGTGGTTGATTCGCCCGAAACAAAAATGATGCAAATTCGGTTGAAACGGTGGGCACTGAGCAAGTGGATATTTTCGCCTTGTCCCAGCTGTTTCGTGGGGTTTATCAGTGGACAGCTATAAAGCATTGCTGCTACCTAAACGTGATTGAATTATGCATGTCTCTCTTCATTTTCCTCTGTAATACCGGAACGTGCATAAAGCGAGGTGTGTTCTCAGCTTCAGAAGTGTCACCGGGTTAACCGCTGCAATTAACCCTCACGATTAACCATTACTGATAAAACATTTTGGTTCCAAACTGCTTCGAGTCATTCAAATTATACCTTTTTCCACTTTATAAAAATTATTAAAAACTATTTAACATTGTTTGGGATCAAGAACTAGCAAAACAGAGCTTTGCAAGAAGGTTTATATGGTTAACTGTTCAATTGAAATAGAAAGGGTAGTTACGTAGTTAACTTATTGACACTGGCAAACAGTTAACCATATTTCGAGTGTCAAACTCTACTATTTGGCCACCAACTTGCTTCCAGCCTGCATTTCAAATGATGTGAAGTGAGAAATTTTTGTACCTTCTGCCAATTGGGAAGAACAGCAAAGGTTAGGGAGCAAAATGCTGACTTTCAATTGGTTAACCAATGTTGGTTATTCGTGTGCGTTAATTAAATACATGCGGACCCGGAAGTTGTTGTGTCGTGTGTAATCGTGATATATCTGATTACTATACACGGATAAACTTACATCAATTTATTTAACACTATTCCTTGAAATAACACAAAGATCTGCTACTTTGTGAATTAATAATCCTGGAAAATGTCTTAAATAATAGACAACAGCTCTAACCTTCCTTTAAATGTCATTTTGCTGGAAGCAGATCGCGAATTGCATTTTATTACAGGTGGTTACGAGTTATATTCCACGGATATCTGCACTGAGCCTTAATCTAGATTAACGTAGGAAAGTTCTGTCCAGTGTACGTCATTGAGCCGAAATCAAGTTCTAAAATATCGTGACACCATGATGATCGTTGGCGTTACCTTCACTAGAAAATTCCTCGCATATCTCTTTCAGACAATCCTGGACAATAGTAGCTGGGACAGTTGAGCTGGATCACGTATTCCCCATCCCCCCTAATCAGTGTTGGAAAATGTCGCATTTTCCTCAACAAAAAGGGAAAATATCACCTGATTATCAACACTGTAAGTGGGGGGGGAGGGGAGAAGTTGCTTCGTGTCCCAACTGTTTTGTCTGGGATTGTAGATCCTGATAACCAGCAACCAGCACTGCATCACCCTGTAAACAAATGTAATTTTAAACTGATATAGAAATCGATGCTAAATTTCATTAAGTGAATATTGTAATTTATAATTACACTGGGTAGTGTGCCTCAACAAGTGTAAATTTCCTATTGTTTTTTTTAGTAATAATTATTGTCTTGTAATTAGTGTACGTGTATTATTTTCTATAGTGTCTGTCATATTGCATGTCAATGTAATCCAAAGCTGTAAGTTAAAGTCCTTTTTTCTGTAAGTAGCATACTGACTCCATACTGTAAGTAGGTTGTATATAATGTGTAGATTGTAGTGCGTAGATATGTACTCCGTAGACTTTTTTTTTGTATCTGTAGTATAAGTTTAATTGTAATTGCTGTAATTGTTCAAGCAAATTTAAATTTACTTGTCCTGGAGAAATGTATTCAAGCCCGGCAGTTCAGCCACTCAAACTAAAGTATCTGCATTACTGACAGACCTGGAGAATTCTACTATGCTTATTATTAACAGTTCCACTTTATTTCATTTTTAACCCTTTAATTTTTAAAAGCTAATTTGTTATTTACTTCACAGGCTCCAAGCCCTGTTAATACTGTCACAAGAGGTGATATTGATGCTGTAAAGTCATCTACCTCTTTCCCAAACAGACGAAATGTTTTTGAAGTTCGTACAAAGTCAGGGATTGTTTGGTACTTACAAGCCACATCACCAGT